CAATTGCTTAGGCTTGTTTGACAATTTAAGATTTTCAGTTCCGCCCTGCCTTGATCAGCCTCATATGTGTATAGACTAGGACAGGTTTTTTTTATTTTTTAAACGTGTCTGTCATCATGTTTCAACTAACACGTTTTAGCACCCTAGTATAGAAAGGGCAAGTTGTATTTCAATATGTATTAGCCATACTGGTTGAAGTATACCTTAGGACAGTGGTTCCCAACCTCTTCGAGCATAAGGACCCCTTTTCAATCTATTAAAATGTCACAGGCGCCCCTCCCTGGGGGAAGAAAGAAAAGAAAAGTAAGGAAAGAAAAGAGAGAGGAAAAAAAGTGGTGGGCCTGGTCCTTATTTTTAAACTTTCCACGGATCCCTGGCAGTACCGTCATGGACCTCCAGGGATTCACCGACTACAGGTTGGAAACCACTGCCTTAGGATTTCCCTCTAGTGATCACTTTTACCTGCTAATATGTTAAACGCAAATCAACTTCTGTTTATACTGAAGCTTTAAAACTTGGTAGCTAGATAGCTGGATTATCCTAGTCTAAACATATCCCTGCTGGAAAACACAGCGGTATCATTAAGATGGTATATTGAAGTGAAAAGTCACAGTGGCAATGTGGAAGATTAAAGTGTATTTTTAGCAAATCATTCTCTAATACATTATTATTTAGCATACCTATATTTCTGAAGAAAGTGTGTTTTTCACTGTAAAACAAACTTGGTGAAATCTCAGATTAGTCAAATGAATCCTCTGTACATGTCCAGTCTTAATTTGTTACCATTGAGTTCCCTCTATATATTTGTTCTGAGCTGTAATTTCCAGTTTTTAAATTAGTAGTCCAATTAAATATAGTTTACACCCAGTTGGGGGCCATACTGTTAGGAAAATCACATTCTGGTTTAGCCCAACTGTGTAGCAGTTTAAGCATATTTTTAAAGCTGTTGTTGTAGCAGAGTACAGAGGGCCTCTGTGATGCTGTTTCAGCCACTGGGGAAGGAAAGAAAATAGTACCTCTAGCGTATTGCTGGTGTCACATGCTTAGGGATATTAGTTTTGATTTAGTAGGTAGCATTGTTTTAGAAAGTTATGGCTTTACCGAAGAGGACAAGGATCTATTTATAAAAACTACAGAAATGCCACACTTTTCAATCCATTATGCAAAGCTCCTACAAGTTTCTTTTTAAAGGCAGGGAAGGAATTGTAAATACTGATTAGAATAATCCCTGCAGAGTTGTTGACTATTACCATCTCGTGTATTCATTTATAATCACCTCTGTGCATTTAATGAGTGGGCTATTTTTCTTACCTAAGATTAACATGCTGAGTATTTGAAGAAAGGGAAAGAATTATTAATGGGTTAGGGAAGGAAGGAATCCTTTTTTTTCCCCATTCACAAACTTTTGTGTCAGAACTATCAATTAAATTTATAAAAGGCTTCAAACCACACATTTTAATGCATCATCTCTGGTGGCGTATGTTAAAGGGCTGCTTTTAGCATTCCTTTTATGCTACTTCTGACAGTTGAAACAATGGACTTCTGAGTAAAGTCTGTGTAGTACTTTACACTCTCTAAACTTTTACTTCTAACATTTATAAAGTCTACAGATGTAATGGGGGAAAATTCAAGGCTTGCTTTGCTAATGAGTTTTTTGCTTAATCAGCTGAATTAATAGCTTCAGTTAAACCATAGAAATCTTTGAAGCACATGGAAAGAGATTTTTGCTGAGCATTTAATGATATGGAGGAAATTATATTACAGTGCAGAACATGCTGAAGAATAGTTATAAAAGTTATAGGTTCTTTAGGGATAGATAATATTAGACTAAAAGAGTAAGGTTGACTCTTTCTTTCCGCCATGTAGCTAGGGTTGTAAATCGTCTAGTTTTCAATCACCAGGCCTCTAAAAGTCCTGTTGGTGCAGAGCTGGCAGGCTCCCTATTGGGCACCACACCATCCCCAGGAAGTGGTCGGCATATCTGGCTTTTAGGCACAGGTATTACCCTAAGTGTTGGGTCCACAGCTCCTATTGGCTGACAGCCATAGCCAATGGGAGCTGTGGGAGCCGCACTTGTGGGCAGAGGCAGTCCACAGAGCCCTCTGGCCACCCCTTCTCCTAGGAGTTGTAGGGACATATCACCACTTTGTGGGAGTGGCCTCAGATCAGCACTGCCTGGAGCCCACACACTGAATCTCTTCCTACACCCCATACATTGAATCCCCTTATGCACTTCCAGCCAGAGCCCACACTTCACTTGCATCCTAATCCCCTGTCCTAGTCCAGAGCCCTGTCCCTCACTCTGAGTCCCTTGTCCCCAGAACAGGGAGGTGAATTCAAATTCCTGCCAGTATTTTGAAGCTATGCTCTGAGAAGGGGGCCATTGTCTGTTGATTATTTGTTCCCGTGTTCTGAAGATCAAAGGACCAAGCTATATAAAGACACAGGCAGATCCGCCTATTCTGTGTGCATGGGCAGTCGGTGCAGCTGGGGGAAACAGGCCCCCCAACCCCACCTATAGCCCTGCCCCCTCTGCTGAGGCCCCATTCTCCACCACAGGGAGGGGAAGAGATGGGAGGGAGCTCACACATGTGCTCCCCAGCCTCTCAGCTCCGGGGATGAGGGCACGTGGCTCCAGCCTTCCCAGCCCCTGGAGCACCAGGGAGGGAGGAGGCCACATGGCCCGAACCTCCTGGCCCCCACAGCACTGGGGTGGGAGAAGATTGTAGGGTTGCCAGGTGTCCGGTTTTGAACCGGACAGTCCAGTGTTTGAGCTTTCTGTCCGGGAAACAAATTGAGAAAATACTGGATATATAAATGTCCAATATTTTCTAATTAAGTAAGTTGTATTATTATCATGAGTATCAGTACGTAGTTGTGTACTGCCTGGTAGACATGCTCACACTGCGCGAGCATGTCTACCGGCCAGGCAGTACACAACTACGTAGTAGAGGGGGAGGGGAGCCGGGGGCGGGATGGAATCCCTGGCACTGGACTCGCCTGTGCGCCCCTCTGGGACCATGCATGAGATGGGCAGTGCCCCAGGATCTGTGCGCTCCCGGCCCAGCCCCGCTCCCACCTGGATGGTCCTCCCTCCCCCTTCCTGGCCATCCCCGCTTCCCCCGACCCTCTCCTGGCTAGCTCTGCTCCCCGCCGGCCAGCCCCGCTCTCCCTAACCCGCTCCTGGCCAGCTCTGCTTCCTGCCAGCCAGTTCCCCCCTCCCCGCCCCTGATCTCCCACAGCCAGCACCGTGGGGCATTGCTGGCATAGATCAAATTACTGGATGTGCAGTCAAATGACCTTTTGATTTGGTAGCTTATGTTGTTGGCTCCAGTGATGAATTCGCTAGTATAGATATGTGGGCAGAGTTGGTATCCCGTTTGGTTACAGGGCTGGGTTCCTGGATGCTTATGATGTGGTTGTGTGGCATGGTTACTGGAAAGAATTCGTTTCAGGTTAGGGGGTTGTCTGTAAATGAGAATAGACTTTTCTCCCAAGGCCTCTGAGAGTGAGGGATCACTTGCCAAGATGGGTTGTAGTAAGCGCCATTTATTCACAGAGTTGACATGTATGGGCATTTGTAAAAATGGCTCCCCACCCTTGTCCTGCTCCCTATATGCTAAACAAAGCTGCCTCTCAAGGTGTCCTTTGGGAACTGGAAAGTGCATGTAGTTGCAGCCTGAAGTAGCAAAACATTTCCTGACATTTTAGGGGTAAAAAACAAAATTCTGTTCTCCAGTTGTGAGAAAAGGGCTATTGAGGGAGATAAAGAACATGCAGATAGGCTGAGGAAGGTCTACAAGTGGAAGAGAAATCTTGAGCTAAGGAACAAAGCAATGGGGCTTCTTATTTATTGTGGGAGTACTGCTGCACCCCCTTTCTTGAAGTGTTTTCCGTTAAATAAAAGATTTGGATCAGTGGCTCTCAGCACCACCACTGTAAAAAATTGTTCCAGAACCCATAATATTAGTTGACTGAAAATTTTTAAATTAATACTTGTCAGTTTCAGTAACATTTGACTCAGCACTATTGGAGGCAAGGTTTTTCTTCTCCAAAATGTTTATATGTACTCTGCTTTTCCTGCGTGACTAAGTTCACTCTGATTTTTTAGAGAACTGCTGAATTGCAATACAGATTAAATGATTTTAGAGTAATATTCACTTTATTTGAAATTAAATAAAAAGTTTTATCATTGTTCAGAAATACCTTGATCAAATTAAAGTATCATTGTCACTAACTAAAGCTGCACCACTTGTTTTAAATAAAATTGAAGTGTGCAAAACTTTAGTGAAACTTAAATTACACTGTCTGGGACAGCGATGGGCAACCTAAGCTAGTGAATGGGCCGCTTGAGTGGCCCTCCTTTATCTCAGTGTGCCACAAGATTGTTGTAACCAACGTGGCCTTGCAGGATAGGGTAGTCTTGCTAACTGCGCATGTGTACCTAGAATTTGTGGGGCGTGATGATTGAACCATATCAGTGCTTTGGATGCAGAGGGAATGCATGGCTCTCTGTCAACATTATGTACAATCAGCACACATCTCTCTTTATCTGCCTTGCTTTACATGCTTTTCACTTTAGTAATATCAATAGGAAAAAATCTTTGTGGACAAGAAACCAGGGGAATCTGGCATGGGCAATGGTAAACAAAATGCCTTGCAAGCCACTCATAGAATCCCAGTGGCCCACAAGTGGCTTATGGGCTGTAGCCTGCCCACCACTAGTTTGGGACATCAACCAAAATAAGCTACAGTAAAAAAGTACCATGTGAGATTTATATTTGCCTTAATATTTATGTATGCTTATTAATGGAAACTGAATGCTAATGATAAATTTGCAGTCTCTTAATAACAATTCATTTCTGCTGACAACATGGCTATATATCATTTATAAACATAGTTACCCTAAATTTGTGGAGCTCATTAGCATATTAATGAAAAAAGATAAAGCCATTCTACTAAATCTTCACTTTTTTGTTTTGTTCTTTTCTTCCCCTCAGTTAAATATTTCGATTTTGTACTTTGAAAACCGCTGACAGCATCTGGTAATGTGTTGACTGGCGCTATGGGCAGACGATACCCAGGGGCTCACTATCGTCCAAGCAGCTCATGTAAGTATGTGATTGGTCTAGTTATCTATCATATGTTTTTACACTTTTGAAAGATTTGAAAGGTGCTAAATTGTCTTTAATTATTTTGAAACCATTAGCTGGAACGTTATTGAATTCCAAGCTAGTCTTTAGAGTGGACACTGAAGCACTCTAATCAGTGCCATGTTTCTGCTATTTACATACCCAGATTATATTATGTTACCTCTGTTGATTTGTTCAAACTGGGAAGGTAATTTCTGGATATTTAAAAATGACGTGTTGGCTAATTCATCCAACTTTGGCTGATTGCACTGGGTCTCCAGTTTTCTTTTATTCACATTGTCCACAGCTCCAGACATAGAAACTCTCAAATGAATAAACTGCCTGAGAATAACCAGAAAAAAATCCAGCTCATTTCAAAGCTATTTACTATTGCTAAAGTCTTTCAGTTTAGATGAAGATTACTAACACTTTTTTAAATCATTTTTTTCTTTTTGAATTGAATATTTGCGTTTTCCTTTTGCATCATCTTAGCTGACAAGCTAGACAGCCATGAACTGCTTATCTCAGCTGACCTCCATTGATCTATCTCTCACTAAGGAATCTTTTAAGTAAAAAGTTTAAAGTAGGGAAGTAATAGTATAGTCGATTAACTGATTAACAGATAAGCAAAAGCTTACCAGTTAATGCTATAGACTACACGAGTATCTCTCCCCGCCACCCCCCTGAAATTTTTTTAGCAGGCTGGCCAGCAGCTCAGCTCAGTCCCGACTTGCACAGAGTCCTGTACCTACCCCTGCTGTGGCTCAGCATTTAAACTGTATTAGGAGCCAGGCAGGCAGCCCTGCTCAGTTCCAGCTCGTGCTGGATCCAGGAGCTCAGACCCCTCCCCACTGGACAGGGGCTGCCCGAGGAGTATAAAATAGTCGACTAACCAATAAGAATTCATTAGGTTAATTGACTATTCAATTAACCAATATTTAAAATCCCTAATTTAAAGATTCTTTAAAGTTTGTCATTTCCAATTTTCATTTGATTGGAAGACTGATAGATAGCTATAATAGCTAAGGTAATGCTAATCTTTGAGCCTGCATGCTTGCTATGTTACGTTGTACGTGAAATGATCTTCCCAGGAGGTAGTATAATATCTCCTCTGTGGCCGTCCCTAACTTCAGATGACTGCTGTCAGTTCCCATGAATATCTGTTGATTTCTCAGGGCATTGAGGTAAAACTGTATAATTTTTTCTTTATTGTACAGATCTTTGCACATATTTAGTTTGTAACGTTTTCTCTTTGAAATGTTGAGATGAAATAATTCCCGTTTTGTTCTAGTGGTATTTTAACCATTGTATCTCATTACTTCTGCCATCACTTGAGATTCTAGCTTTGGAGATGGATTTAGTTTATTTTGTCCCCAGGCATCCATAGGTTAAATCCATGTTAAAGATGAGTTACCCTTGTTCTTTCCATAGGGGTGGCTGTCCCATCCTTGTAAACACATCTGTTAAAATGGCCTATTTGAGATGACACAAACTCTTCAGAAAAATACTATATCGTTTTGAAGGTAATACAGGGATGACACCTTAACTCTGGGTGTGTGTTAGTGTTACAGCCCTGCCTATGCTCCTCCTTGTGGCTGGGTACCAGATTTGCTGTATTGGACCAAGCCTTTGGATTCCAAGGTTTTTTAAGCCTACTTGGTCTGAGAAGTATCAAGACACTTAGGCTATGTCTACTGGCGCCAGAGCTATGCAAACGAGGCTAAGCGTGGAATATCGCCGAGCCTCATTTGCATATCTAATGAGCCACCATTTTTGCAGAAGAGGCTCTTGCGCAAGAAGGAGCTGTCTACACTGCCCCTTCTTGCGCAAGAAAAACCCTCTTGCGCAAGGCCGTTATTCCTGAAAATAATCAGCACTTGGCCCAAGCTGAGCACTACAGCTGCTCTGCACGCAGCAGTTGGCCCCTGCCAATGGCCATAGCCGCCCTCTGTGGGGCCCTGCCAGCCCGGCCACATAGTGGCCACCAGAACTGGAACCGGGGCCGTGGTGAGGCTGCCCCAGTAGGGGCACACCCGGCTGCCAGCCGCAACACTCTCCAAGTGAGTGGGGCTAATTCAAAACTGGGGGCATGACCTGGAAATGTGCCTCATCCCAGCAGGCAGGGTTTTGCAGCCCGCTGCCAGTCCGTGGTTCGCAGTTGGGAACTGCTGGTACTGATTCATCACAGTGCAGTTATGAGGCGGCATGGTGGGAGTACCGTGGGCTGTGTTGTAGGCTGTGACACGAAACAGGAGTTAGTCTGTGCACAGTGGCATGGAATGAGAGTATGAGGGTTACGAAGGAAGCCTTGGGAATATTGGGATTGTGAGAAGTAAGGCGTGATGGGTTGGATCAGAGGGGTACCTTCCTGATGTGCTGGTCATTCCACTGAGCCTGCCCTCTGGGGTGTCCCACCATCCTGTCCTGCAAGGGCAGAAGCTCTGCTCTCCCCCAGCCAAGACACAGAGTTGGGGTTACCATCCCACAGCAGAGCAACACAGATGTTAAACTAGCTTGGGTCTGGGAAGGTTCTCAACTATAAGACTATCCAGGGACAAGCCCCAAAAACTTTTACAGGGAGAAAGGTCATAAGTTCAGCTCCCTTTATCCATGAAAGAGACATACATAGTGGTTGCTCCCCCACCCCCAAGTAACAGATATTTATGCTGGGCTTGATAATAAACAAGTACAAAAAGTAGGATTTAAGTGATTGAAAGTGAAAACAGATGGATCAAAGCTAGTTTCTAAGCCAAAATAAACAAAACATACCAGCTAATCCTAATACACTAAGAAACTTGTTACATGCAGGTGTTCTAATAATCTCCATCACAAGCTAGGCAGCCTCCTATCTCTGGCGCAGTCCTTTCCCCTGTTCAGTCTTTAGATGTTTCCAGAAGGCAACTTGGGTGGTAAGTGGCAGTCTTTTGGCATCTGGCCACTCCTCCTATTGTATGGTTTCCAACCTTTATATCCTTTTTCCCCAAGGCGGGAATTCTTTGTGTCCACTTCAAACTTTTCTCACCCTTGAGTAGAAAAAGTTCAAAATGAGTTCAAGCATCAGATGTCCTGGCCATATGTCTTGGCATGACCAACCACAATCCAGGCTTACAGGAAAACCTAAACCATTCACAGATTGTTATCTTGAGCAGTTGGAGCTATTAAATTTCCAGAGTATCAGAAATGGCTCTCATTAGCACATTCAGAATTATAAACAGATCCACAGTTCGTGTTTCTGACTTTGCATACAAGAATGATACATGCAAAAAATAGAATATACAGCAGATTCAGCAGATCATAACTTTCTAAAAATGTTACATGATGCATTTTGCTTAAAATGTCTTCCAGTTCTACATATTCATAAGACAATTTTAAAATAAAGCATAGGTCACTACCATCTGATCCTGGTGACTTAGTACTGATTGGGAGAGTCTGCTCTGTTCTCAGCAGGGAGCTACTGCTGTAACTGAGGGAGGAGTCACATCCAGTTAGGCAGCTCCTTTTCTGGAGCCCTACTCCCTGGCTGGGTGGGAGCAGCAGCAGGGCCGTGCTACTATGCAGCTTAGAGGGAGCTTTGGTGCCCCCCCAATAATGACACCATCCACCCAACTCTGGTCTCCTCTAAGCAGCAACTCCCCAACCCCTCCCCACTCCTGATTTAATCAGAGGAATTTTTAGTAAAAGTCATGAACAGGCTGTGGGCCATGAATTTTTATTTCTTGCCAGTGTTCTGTCTGACTTTTACTAAAAATACCTGTGTGTAAATCATAGCCTTAGTTATCTCAGAGATGTGGGGTTTGATGGAATGAACACAGATGTGAGTGAGGAAGGGAGATGAGCCACCATGTAGCTAAGTGAACTGGGATGTGGGATACCAGGGAGGAATGGAACTGAGCAGCCGAGTAATGAGTGGCAGGGAACAAATTTGGGGGATCATGATATGGATGAGATGGGCTTTCTTAATTGGGTCATGGTGATGAGAAAGGAATTGTGTGTATACTCACACAAGCCATGGAAGGTTGAAGCACAGCTTGTCTCTGGTTGTTTCTCTGCTTGTGAATAGCATTCCCCTCCCTCCTTGTTCCCCAGCCTCCAGCTGACTCTAAAAGCAGGGCTAGAGAGAAACAGCAGTATGACAAATTTCTCCTGTGCAGCTCTTCTGTGGGCCCTAACAATTTAGCGTAGATCTGCTGTCTGATTCCAAAGTCTCACCTCAAGCAGAAATCCTTCTTATCCCCAACTCTGTCACTAGCCCCTAGGCACTCTTCCTAGTGCTTGAACCGAGCTTATCCACAAGCAGAGATAAAATGCTGGCTGCCTAGGAAGGCTGCTTTGAAAACAGTACTTTCAAAGAAGATTCTCTAAAGATTTGAGATGTGAAAAATCATGTTTATGTAACACAAAGACCTGTCAGGACATTTTTATAGAATGGTACTGTTTTTCTTGTTCCTGAATCCTTTGTTTTCCCTTAGGCCAATGTCTGAGGTTTGGGAAGCTGCCAGAGTCCCTTTTTAGAGAACGGTGTGTAATGAAAAATGACCACTTTGATGTTTTGCAAACATCAGAGCTAAAATCTCAGAACAGTCATTCTCTAGTTAGTCTTCATGGTAGCTATGCCCTTCCTTTTTTTAGAAGTATTGTTAGTTCCATCCAAGATCTCAGAGAAAACAGTGTCAAATAGGGTTGCCAGATGGTTTCAACAAAAATACCAGACACACTTGACATTACATCACAATCTACATTACATCTTATTTAGAAAATACTGGACATTTATATTTTCTCAATTTGTTTCCTGAACAGAAAGTTCAAATAGTGGACTGTCCACTTCAAAACCGGATGCCTGGCAACCCTAATGTCAAACCTTGCAGGTCCTGATATATCCTTCTCTCTTTGCATGGGTCCTCTTCTCTTCTTCATCCACACTTTTGGAGGAAGGGTAGTCTTGTTATGAAAGCTCAGGACTGTCCGCCAGGAGACCAAGC